AAAAGAAAACGAAATCAGAGCGTAAACAGGAAGAAGGGAGGGCTTCCGCCATATTCACAGGTTTTCGCCGCTTGTGCAATTTGAACACAACGTTCGCCTTTGCTTTACGGGGCCATACAGAGCGTGCTTTCTATACGTATCTTGCACGTGACGTCATTCTCGTGGATTTATGACGTACTTGTTTACTAACATGGCGGACATGATGACGAATGGAGCAGCACAACCGCATCGCGCTAAACCTGCTTTGATATCATAAGGATGTGGTCAAAATACCATTTCCCACTGAGCGTCAATAACGGAACTTGCTAGGAATGTAATGATAACATTAACATGCGTTGTCACAAACCTTCAGTGTGCCTTGAGGTTGGCCATTACGACGGTTTCAGTGACGTCTATGTAAGCCATCTATAGGATGCTGTATAGCGGTGACGTCAGAATTTTCTCTACGTTCGACTATGTTGGTTAGCGCCAGCCTTGCGGAAAACGGCAAGGTTTTTCTGTTTTAACGGCAGCCACTGCGTTAATAGAGGCATGATGAAGCGAGTTTTAACCCTCCGCAATGTGCTGACGAGTGCCGCGATGAGGAATCATTGGTGAACGCATGCATAGGCAAGCGGTAGTTTCTACGCAATCTGCGTAGCGCCCTCCTGTGAACACCGCTCACGCTAAATAATGCGCGCGGGCCTTCCAAGTCACCTTTCATAAGAATAAATTAACTTCATAAGTGACTTTGCAGTGTCCGTTACCTCGGACTCCCCATTGTGTGTCCGATGTAAAGTTTTTACACCTCAATCATGTCCTTTGTGAATGCAGGCCAGAGAGACAGAGCAGGCCTAAGAGACCGTTTAGGCTAATTCCATTATTGTTTGCCCAAAGATTTAAAATGCTATTTTAACGAATTCACTCAATTTTTCTAGCAAACCGTCTGATCCTGTCCCGTTAATGTGCTGTCGGCGTAATGCGAAGTTGCTAGCTCGTACTTCCCGCGAATCACACTAAGCTGACTGCCTAAAACTGATTTCAGATGACACTGAATATTCGTAGCTGAGGTCAATGCACGGGCACTTACCCAAACTAAGAGCCGTGAGGCTTAGCAATATGTCGTAGTCGTAAACGGGCACGGTGGGCAGCGTTGCACTTTCGGACGACATGGTCGGGGACGCGAATAATACTTTGCGCGTGTGTGGATTCCTTTTCGTGCAAACGTCACATGCCAACGCTGTCACCTGTAGGTCAGTTGTATTGGTGCTTTGGTTTAATAAGGGAGCAGGTGTTCCGCAACTGTACAGCGTGATTGCTTTACCTTTATTAATATTTTCTGGGGGGTAGGGGATGGTGGTGGAGTTTCCTGACTTTTATTCTGATACTGTGACAGGCATCAGTTATATACTGGGTATCAGATTGCACAGAACTCCATGCTGCTGCTTTTGGTGAACTGCGTGCGGATGTTAATTGCACCAAAGTTAAATGAAAAAATAAAAACAATAGTTGTACATATAATCTGCGGCTGTTTTTATTCTGGTTTCATACGGACCTCGTCTGTTTGAGGGATGCAGCTATACAGTCAAGTCCGCATATATCAGACTTGCGGTAAAATGTAGAGTTCGATATATATCGCATAATTGAATGGAAAAGTGATGATGAATTTACCGTATTTTTCGTGCGTATTGCGGTGTATAAGCCGGCTTTCACGACTGTGCCAAAAAATGTGGCCTCCCAGTAATACGGGGGGCTTTTCATTTTCCGCTTTCTGTTACTGAGGAAGCGGGCTACATGCATTGACAGGTTATGCGTGAGAGAATACGGTATCAATGTAAACAGTGTCTGAACATATTCATAAGCAGCTGTTCGTTGTGGTTGTGCGTCGGTAGCCCCTAGCTTGCCTTCGCCTTGAGTCAAAGTGAAAAAAAAAAGAAAACGAAATCAGAGCGTAAACAGGAAGAAGGGAGGGCTTCCGCCATATTTCACAGGTTTTCGCCGCTTGTGCAATTTGAACACAACGTTCGCCTTTGCTTTACGGGGCCATACAGAGCGTGCTTTCTATACGTATCTTGCACGTGACGTCATTCTCGTGGATTTATGACGTACTTGTTTACTAACATGGCGGACATGATGACGAATGGAGCAGCACAACCGCATCGCGCTAAACCTGCTTTGATATCATAAGGATGTGGTCAAAATACCATTTCCCACTGAGCGTCAATAACGGAACTTGCTAGGAATGTAATGATAACATTAACATGCGTTGTCACAAACCTTCAGTGTGCCTTGAGGTTGGCCATTACGACGGTTTCAGTGACGTCTATGTTGTATAGCGGTGACGTCAGAATTTTCTCTACGTTCGACTATGTTGGTTAGCGCCAGCCTTGCGGAAAACGGCAAGGTTTTTCTGTTTTACGGCAGCCACTGCGTTAATAGAGGCATGATGAAGCGAGTTTTAACCCTCCGCAATGTGCTGACGAGTGCCGCGATGAGGAATCATTGGTGAACGCATGCATAGGCAAGCGGTAGTTTCTACGCAATCTGCGTAGCGCCCTCCTGTGAACACCGCTCACGCTAAATAATGCGCGCGGGCCTTCCAAGTCACCTTTCATAAGAATAAATTAACTTCATAAGTGACTTTGCAGTGTCCGTTACCTCGGACTCACCATTGTGTGTCCGATGTAAAGTTTTTACACCTCAATCATGTCCTTTGTGAATGCAGGCCAAAGAGACAGTGCAGGCCCGAGAGACAGTGTCTGAAGGTGGCCTCAAATCTCCCCCAAGACTCTAGCTGGTAGTTAAGACACATTTTGGACCCATAGAAAAGTCACTCCAGTGCGTTAAGCGTAACAAAAGTGCTGCTGACATTCTTGCAGGCCACAAGTCTGAATAAAAAAAATTAGTGTAGTTTACGTGTGTGACTGTACGTGTTATGTTTTTTATCACTGTATATGTCCTAATCATCACCCCGTATTTGCAGTAGCATGCCAAGCGAAAAAAGTAAAACAAAAACCAGCCGCTCTTCATTAAAATACTCTGTCTCTTTAATTTCACTGTCTCTCTCTCTCAATTTGATGTATGAATTGTTTTGGCTGTATGTAGTCGGTGCAACCTTCAGTTTCCCGATGAACTGACGTTAAGACACTGTCGTGTTCGAAAGCTATTTCATGTAAGGGATAATTGTTTGGGTTTAACGTCCCAATACCACCATTAGATTATGACAGACGCCGTAGTGGAGGGCTCTAAGAATTTTGACCACCTGGGGTTCCTTAACGTGCACTTAAATTTAGGCTCAAGAGGCCTCACGCATTTTCGCCTTCATCGGAAAGGCGGCCGCCATGACCGGGATTCGATCCCGTGACCTGCGGGTCAGCAGCCGAGTGCCTTAGCCACTAGACCACCGTGGTGCGTTAAATAACTCAGTTTTCCCGAGTTCCGTACAGTCTGGTTGGACTGTAGCTTAATATGTACTAAATAAATCCGGGTGTTTGGGGCTGTAGCTTAATATGTACTAAATAAATTCGGGTGTACCAAATAAAATCGGGCCAGGCATCGCTTTTCGCGTGGCAAGAGTTCGTAAGTTAAACGCTTGGTTAAGCTCATGTTGACGCAAATGTTTTTTTTTCTTCTCTTCTGGTCATGTGTACTTTTTCGACGTCATTTCCGTGACAGAAATACGTCACTGAAGTATTGGTGGACCCCGGCATGAAACACTTTCGTGTTTTAAAATATCCACTCACCTCTACGAAGTAATTCATGACGAGGGGGCGAAGCACTGGGGATCGTTCTTGTTTTGGAATGCTCCGATGATTGTTCTTGTTGAGCGAGAACAAGAACAATTTATGGTTTCAAGACGACGAACATTTTAGTAAACGTTACCTAAAATAAACGATATCTTTTCTCAAGATTTGGGGACACATATGTATGTTCTCATCTCTCGTTGGCATGAGCATTGTTCTGCCTTAAATCAATGGAAAATAGACGAACAAAAAAACATAGATTTGGACTAAGCTAGTTATGAAAAACGACTGTGTGAGGCCTGCTGGAAGATTTTGGCGAAATTTTAGTATCGGGCTCTAAGCTGTGTGGCCTCCCAGGACAATTAAACTCCGCCAATTGGAAATACGTGGAGCCTCATTGTAAAATATCAATCACGTAGAAGCCACGCGTCTTGTAGTGTGATAGTGACATTTCACGAAAATGATTGTGTAAGTCTCTACTATCTAGATATCGGAGTTGTTTTTGACGACTAGTTAAATTCAAAAGATATATTTTTTCGCCTATTTCCCATTCATTCACGGCAGCCTGCCGCTATCACCGCCAAGAGATCGCGCTACGTGCAAATGTACCCAAATCCTGGTCAGGTGAATTTTCGGTGTTTTCATGTTGCACGAATGTCGTCATGTAGCAACACTTCGTAGATTGAATGTACGAAACAAGCGTTTATTGCAGTTTGGATTGCGGTGAGGGCGCTGCAGGAGAAAGGGACACTTCACAGAGATATATATATAGCCTCGGGCCCGCGTTTAAAGGTCGTTCAAGCTCTTACCAATAGCACTGAAATTCTGTGATGCTGGCAAAGGAACGAACAAAAGCAAAACTTCAATTTGGGCTAGTTGGTATGACATTTCTCACCACATGTCCTGTCCTTTACGTCCTGTCACCACATGTCCTGTCTCACCACATGCCTTGTTCCGTTATTCATTTGTGTATTTAGCTCACTAGAGCTACATCACAAAGACGAGAAGCAACAGATGTTTGAATTTGAGCGTGATTCTCCTCTTGTCTTCTGTGCTTCTCTGTGCTGTGCATTCTTCACTAGTCCATTGTTCTTGTGCAGCTGCTGGCCACATTTTTCTTGACGTCCTCAATCATAATTGCGCGCATTTTTTTCTTGTCTCTCGCTCAGCATTGCTAGCTTTACGCAGGTTCACACAAGCTCGCTTTCACAGTGACGCGTTTCATTTTTTTAAAAACAAAACAAAACAAAACAAAATTGCCACGTCTGGTGGTTGTCTGTCGCGATGAACAAATGATTTAAGAAGTGCACAGCAATTTAATTCTAATCTGCGCACGTTCACGGCAACGAAAACCATCCAAGAAAAGTCACAGGTTTGAAGCTGGTTGTTTCACTTTCTGCATAACATTTCCATAAGCGTTTTTTTTGTACGAATATTTGCCAACTGTTGCGACGAGAACGCAACAAAAGCATACTCGCCAATACATTGAAGATTGCCTCGCAGGTAAGATTCGCTGTCCAGTGAGCCATAATTCAGTCAGTCGAAAGTGTTTATGAGCCCCAGTTTTTAAAGGAAAATGGTTCAGTTCTTCAGATCTTTCTAAAAACAAAAAACAACTATTAATATGGTCGTGTTTCACACCATTTGTCTTAAAAAATATATTAGCATGAGGGCTGAAAGCGCATTCATTTGCATGCGTAACAGGGTATTTTGGTTAATGCTTTTAAACTAGGAAAAACATTGATCTTTTGCGGAAACTGTGCGTCGTTTCCCTGATGGTCGACCTGTGCAAACTCATTGCCTGAGCCCGAACGATGGTCCAGACCCAAGAGCTGCTGGTTTAAGAAACATTCCCACATTCACTAATTAGCTAATTTTATAAACGTTTACTTTGTCTTCAATCGATAGCGTCTTTGACTTAGTGACCTCTGTTCAGCAACAGAAAGCTAAGAAACGGCTGTCGATAGCTCTGTTCTTAGATGTGAAAGGTGCCTTGACCCACGAGGCTGGTCTCAATGCTCTCGAAGCAGCCAAACTTGGAGGTCGTGTCTCTCGATGGGTAAGAAGCTACCACACAAAGAGATCCACGTTCATTCTAACTGAGGATGGGTCTACGAATAAGCACTTCACAAGTTGCGAGGTGCCACAAGGCGGCTTTTTGAGTCCTACTCTTTTCGACCTGGTTCTGGTGGGGCTCACTGAAATGCTGCCAGAGACGGCTTATATATCTCTCTACACTGATAATATCTGCATTTGGATGTCCGGCATGACACGGCCTCAAGTGCGCGCAAGGATACAGAAGGCGGCAACAATGACATCGGCATACCATCGCCAGCAACATTTCACTATCGCCACAGAAAAATGCGCTGCGCTGACGTTTACACGTAAACCGATGTCTTTCTACCCATTGTGCTGCGATGGCAGATCAATGGCTTACAAGAGCAGTCATAGATTCTTAGGTGTCATCGTAGATCATGACCTAACCTGGAGCCCACATGTCGCATACCCGAAGAAAAAGCTCATTGGCATTGAGAGTGTATTCAAGTTCAATGCCGGAAAATCATGGGGCCCATCCGTGCACTCATGCTGCAGCTTTATACAGCCCTCTTTCTCGGTCTTCTCCGGTATACAGCTTTCCTGCTCTGTCCAACACGTTTAAGACTAACATCCGTGAACTACAGAGCGTACAAGCCCAAGCACTCCAGACATGTCTTGGCCTTCCAAGATGCTCGTCGACAGTGGCAACTATTGTTATCGCCCAAGAACAGCCGGTCACAACGCATATCATTGTCGAGACGCTCAGAGCACACTTTCGACATTTTTCACGGCTTCTGTCACATTATTTAGCGCGTTTGACAGTGCGGAGGCCCCATTATTTGTTCTGCGGTGTTGTGACGAAACATCAGGACATATTACGGCTTGGCTTTAAACTTGCAATGCGTCTAGCAGCTGTGTTATGGAGTCTCCGTCAACCTGACGTGCACTTATCGGTTCTTGGAATCGTTAGGAAGGCACGCATGTCACTGCTAGCTCTAAAGCAATTGACTTTGCGTCTGTTGGACGAAAGTTACTTTGGCCACATACATTATAACACCGATGGCTCCACTAATTGCAACAGCTCTACAGGAGCAGTGGTTGTTCCATCTGGTAATGTGTTGCTTCAATACAAGTTTTCTCACACCACGACGTCGACACCAGCAGAGCTCGCAGCGCTTCAAGGTGCAGTCAAGTACATTCTTCGGCAGCAGCTTAATCAATGGGCCATCTTTTGCGACTCCAGGTCAGCCTTACAGTCACTATGGTTTTTTATGCAGCATGGGTTTCATGAACAATCACTGTATCAGATAAGGCACTATTACCACGAAGCGCTCGTTAAAGTTCACGATATTGTATTTCAATGGTTGCCGAGTCATTGCGGAATCGTCGGCAATGACCGCGCGGATGAAGCTGCTCGATCGGCTCATGACCAAGACCTGCGTACGCCCATACCACTCTTGAGAACAGACCCTGCAAGGCGACTACAATCACTTGCTCGCCGTATATCTCTCCTACAATGGAATACGCCGGGTTTCTGCAACGCGCGCTTGTATTCGATCGACCCAAACTTGCAACTTCGTTTTCCATCCGGGCTCCCACGATGCGCTGAAACTTTGCTGTGTCGCATGAGGTTGGGTGTGGCATTTACGATTGCGTATTCTCGTCTCCTTGGAACGGCGACAGGTTCGGCATGCAACATCTGCACCTGCGAGGATACGCATGAGCACATTCTATGCAATTGCCCAGCATACCAGTCTGAACGACGTATTATGGAAACCAAGCTCTTTCAGCTGGATTCATGGCCGCTTACAGAAAAGAAGATCCTGGGACCTTGGCCGACTGTTTCGCATATGCGCAAAGCCACGAAAGCCCTCTTGTACTTTTTAAGGACCCCCAGACTTCATGAGCGCTTGTGAAAGAACATTGTGAGAACGTGCTGAGTAGTATCGAGCTGACTATTCTTCATTCTCTTTCTTACTCCTCTTCTTTTCTGTCTCTTTCTTTTCTATTATTCCCCCACCCCAAGTGTAGGGTAGCCAACCGAACCAAGCTTGGTTAACTTCTCTGCCTTTCTCCTATATATTTATTTCTCTCTCTGTCTCTCTATCTCCTGTCTGTTGTTGCAGCTGATAACTTCTAATCACCAATGCCACATACACTATAGGGTTTAACACGAAAAGCTATTGTACAAATGCGCCTGTCGGTCGCGTTCGCTGATTTTGGTAGCGCCAAGTGCCTTTGCGTGTGTGAAAGAGTTAATTTTCGTGATACGCATATGTGTACATTTGTCTGGGTGTCCTCAGGGTAAAGGAAGAAAAATAGGAGGAAAAGAACTGCAAGGAGGTTAACCAGCCTATAGGCAGCCGGTTTGCTACCCTGCGCATGGGAGAGGGATGGGGGAGACAAAAGATAGAGAGCAGAGAGGGAAGAGAGATGAACACAGCACATTTGGCAGCACACGCGCGCGCACTCAGTCGTAGTCCAGTCTTGTCTTTTGCGGTGTGTGACATTGCTGTTACAGCCGCTTGTCCAAGTCCGTGTCGCGTAGGAATTTCAACAGAGCTTTTGTCGCCTTTCTTAGGGTAAAAACCTCAATGACCTGCGTATGCTGTGGGAGATTGAGATAGCAAAAAATATTTTCGGTAAAAGCTAACTTTTGTTTCACAGTAAGTCTAGTTAGCACTTGAAATAGACATCAGGTTATGCTGCAGCTATGCTCGACCAAAGTCGTGGGAGGCTTCCCAAAAGGCTAGTTTAAAATTGATTGATTGATATGTGGGGTTTAACGTCCCAAAATTGCCATATGGCTATGAAAGACGCCCTGGTGGAGGGCTCCTAAAATTTCGACCACCTGGGGTTCCTTAACGTACACCCAAATCTGAGCACACGGGCCTTCAACATTTCCGCCTCCATCGGAAATGCAGCCACCGCTGCCGAAATTCGATCCCGCGATCTGCGGGTCAGCAGCCGAGTACCTTAGTCACTACACCACTGCAGCGGGGCACTAGTTTAAGAGACTTAACTTTTTTAAAAGACCAAACTTGTGAGACCCTTCCTGTAGATTAGCTTACATGAAAAAAATGTTTGAATGTTGGGAATATTTTTGTCGTGCCCGTTTGTTTCAATTCAGTCAACTTGAATGCAACAGAGCACGAATGGTAGAGCGGAATATAACCGGTGGGGCCACACATTTGGCAACCCTGCTGGGATTCTCTTCGTAAATTGCAAGCAAGTGGAGCACTCAGAAACATTAAACAGTACCATGGGGACGAACTACGCAAGCATTAAGCAATAATTACTGACAAAAAAACAAACAAAACAATAACAAAGAGTGCAGCTGCACGTATAGGCGACAAGGCAGGAACCATCAGGAGAAGCAGTGATACCAATAGCCAAGTTTTGCTAGTCATACTGAAATTTTGCTAGATATGCGAAGTTTTTTGCTAATAGCATTAAGTGTGGCTAATATTGGCTTTATATGTCACGTTTCAGTCTGGTACGAGAGGTGATTTTAGGGACGTGACTAGCTGTGACGTGGTTTTAGACCAGAACATGCCACGGGACTTAGCCTTTAGCTATCGTGCGTGATTGCGTGATGAAATAACGTGACATGTTCGTGCCTAAACCACGTCACAGCTAGTCACGTCACTAAAATGACATCTCCTAACAGACAGCAAGGTGACACATACAGCAACGCTAGACACGCGCCAAGATATGTGATCTTAGTGGATTTTTAATTACGTGAGGATTTGTACGGTACTTTCAGCCCCGTAACTAGGTACTCTGTGATTTTTGTTGACGCGACTAATTATTGCGACATGTTACATTATTTTCAGTTGCGTGACTGTAGTTTTTACCTAATGCTATAGGTGATCTCTGTTCCGCAACTAGTTATCACGTGATGTTACCTGATTTTTAGTCAAGTAATAGACTCGCCCGTCATAGTTTTGGTATTACGCGCCGGACAAAGTGGTTCACATGTTGTGGGAGAGAAGCGGAAGTTGAAGAGAACGAAACGAGTTTGTACCATTTAATGATAAGGACAATTCCCATTCGCGCTGGCTGGCACAACGAAGGCTTTTAAGAGCCGGACTTTTGAAATAATTATAAAGATGCACGGAATATAGTTGAAGTAACAGTAAATGTTTTGTAGAAAGAACGTTATCATTAGTTTAGCATGATAATGGCGTAAAGTTGAAAGAAAAAGCTACAATATAAGGCCAAAATGTAATAAATTACGATCGACGTTGCCGTGTCTTATAAATTTAGTCAACTGCATGACTAAGGACAGCCATCCTTGACTGGGCTACATGGCCCCTGACAGCGATCCTAATTGATCCTATTTGCTACGACACTTTAATTGTAACTCAATCAATTCAATTCCGGTCGGCGTGCACAGTTACTCATGGTCAACTAGGACTGCCCTTACGGATTTATTGACTGCTTAGAATTATGGTTTTAGGGAAATTATAAATTTGAAAGGAGTCCAGGATGTGTTTCCACATTCAAGTACCTGGCGTACCTGAAACTTGCATAAAATAGACTGGCCTAGTTGGGGCGTAATATAAGAAGATATGATGTTGGAGAAAGGACACCTCACAAAGAAATGTTGACATAAACACATATTTGAGTTGCACAAAAAAAAAAACACGAACGAAAGGAAGTACACAGCACGGGCGAGAACTTTAGCTGCACAGTTGAAGCTTGCGCTTGTCCTGGGTACTCTCTTAAATTCGTATTTTTTGTGCTGCCAAATATGTAATCAAGAATGCACCAACTAGCCCAAACGAAAGCTTTATTTAGACGTGAAACAAGAGCTTCCAGACGCGTCATGTTAACCTACTCAATTCACTCAAAAAGTTGCTGTTTTTTTTTCAGACACACGTGGGTAAATTAAGCGTGGAAAACGTAATTATGCTTTGTTTCTACCTTTTCGGGACAATATTTTGGACGTTCTTCTGTGCAAGTAAGTTCGTGGCTGCAGTAACTATTCGCTTCTAAACATGTTGTCACTTTCGTGCTGATGAGTCGCAGTCGAAGCGTTTACAGAATGTTCATTAAGATTTTAAAAGAGTTGACTGTTGGGCGAGTCGACGTTCTCACGTAAGAACCATCGTAAGTACCGCAACTATAAACAGGACTCACAGGAAGAAACAGACTAGCACAACCACAGATTGACTATTGATTTTATTGAAGCAGATCCACACCTTTGTACATCAACAAGCAGCGGAGGCGCAGTCACAACCAATGTAGGTAAAAAAAGAAATACCAACTTCTGATTGCGTAATCTACATTGAGTAGGTTTATATGATTTCATGATTCTGACGTGACACAAGCAAGCTGAAGAACCACAAGGCCGAAGAACCACCGGTTATATTTACTTAACGTTTCAAGTAAGTGCGCGCACCGAGTCAGAATGTCGTCGCGGCCAACAATGCCAAACATTGCAGCGTCATGATCTGCGGCCACCTTTTAAACTCAACAACACAACCCTTTATCCTTTCCGGGCGTTTCATCACTGTCCAGCCTCTCGCTGTTCAGCGTGACGTCACCAATTTCGCCTTCTGGTCATCGACTGAGCCTCCTTGTCCACCCGGAGGCCCGTGCGTTTGCCGCTTTTCCTCCTCGCGCTGTGAGGATGAGCAGTCAGCCAGGAAGATAGACGAGTGGATGAACGGACCTTAGCGAATGAGTAAAGCGGAACGAGCGAGGGTCTTTTTTGAATCATTGAACACGTGTAACTGCCATTTTACGGCACCGTTTCGAAAAAGTCCCTCGTACGCTCCTGGGCAACTGAAATGCAACAACTATAGACTTCGACTTCTGGGTGGTTGAGGGGCTCCTTAGGACAATGCCTTAGCCATAGGTATAAAACAGTAATCAAACCGTCTTATTTTTTTTTTATTTCGCTACACTTCCTACCAGCTGTAATTAGGAATCACCAAACTTGACGTTAACGTAAAACTAGCTAGCTGAGAATTCCGTGAAAACAAATCGATCTTGCTCAGTGCTGTGTAAGTTATTCAGCATATTCTACAATATACTGTTTCGCATGAATTAAATAAACTTGCGCTTATGGGGGGCCTTGGTGTAAATGGCCAAATTGATGTTTATGCGCTCACTTCGCAGAAAAATGTTGGACGAACGAAAAAAAGTCATGTATGATGGTCAAGTCCTTAACTTGACAAGCCCTTGCGTCAGTTACAGCTGCCATAAAGGAAATATTACGACGGAAAAGTAAGTGCATTTTGAATCACGTAAAAACTAATCGTTCTTCACCATGAGGATACCACGATAAACATTTATATGAATGAAAATTCTTGCTCCAGCAAATACGGGTACCTCATGTATACAGGTTAGCGGAGTGTACGAGTTAGTGCAGTCAACATCGGCAACGTGTGATTCTCTCGTCGCATTTCACTCATAAGTAGCTAAAGGGGCAAATTGCAGCTCATGGTCACTGGGTGGGACAACAAAATCAAAACAGTAGGTCTGAAAATTATTTAGAAATCTAAAAAACATAAGAACATACAACAATGTGCGATAGTCTCGAAAGAAAACAGTGCATCTTGATTGGCAGTGACGCACTGGAGGCGGCAAAGGAATGCATCTGATTAGGACAGGTAGTTACCGTGGAGATGAAGCATGAGACTGGACAGACTGAACTAACTAAAAGAATAAGAATGAAGTGAAGCACTTTCAGCGTGCATTATCAGATAACGAATGGTAGTTCACCACTATTGCTGGTGAGGAATGCTTAACAGCTGCATCTTACATGGTACTAACCTACGCAGCAGGTGCCTGGAGGCTCACGACGAAAGTTCATCCTGAATTGAGCATGACGTAGTGAGTAATGGTAAGGAAAATGGTATGTGTAATTCGAAGAGGCAAGAAAAGAGCATAATGGTCAGTGAGGAAACATTTGTTAAAGGGGCACAAATCAGAAACAACGACTTTGTTTAGATTGACAAACTGCACTCTGAAAACTTTAATGCCTAATGTTTCTCCATAATAAGTTCATTATTAGCGGAAAAAGTCAAGGTTGAAGTTTCATTCTTAAATTTCTCGCCGGAATCTCTGTGTGTGACGTCGAAAAATTTCAATAGGTATGTTTCCTATTTTACGAACATTTGCTCTATGAAATTTAAAAATTATCGTATGTTAGGTATATGGCACTCGCAGATGACAACGTAATTCATTTATATAGATTAAAAGCTATGTAGGACCTAGTAGACGCCTTCGAAATCTATGACGTCATGGGGTTTGGTACGGGAATCTCAAGATGGCTTCGCCACCCGCATTTTATTTTAGTGCGTTTTCTCGCTTATCAAGCGTTGTTTCGCGGCAAGAGTGTGTATTAGAGATTCTCAAATTGTGGTCGAAATGTTACTTTACTGAAATGCGTAAAACTGTCTCGCGCTTGAAGTATGTCTTAGTAGAAATAAAGAAAAATAATACGGGCTTGAGTGGGGCATGTAGCGCGTAGACAAGATGATTGCGAGCTCTTAAGAGTTACAGACTGAATTTCAAAAGAAAGCAAACGTGCGAGGTAAGACAAAAATTAGGCGGGCAGATGTGATTAAAACGTTTGCGGGAAAAAACGTGGCCGGAGAAAGCACAGAACCCGGTTGATTAGAGGAACATGGGAGATGATTTCCCCCGCAGTAGGCGTAGTCGGGCTGCTGCTGATGATGTCCGGTTGGCTACCCTGTGCCGGAGACTGGGAACGCAGGAATAGGCAGACGAGGGAAAGAGAGGAAGGGATTAGCAATAAGCACACTGATTCGTACATGTCAGTAGCACATGTAAAAGTCAAAGGTGTTCACTGAAGACAGCAGTCTTCAAGAAACAGAAAAAAAAAACGCATTCACGGCCTTGTGGGCAGACAAAAGTTAGGATCTGTAGGTTATACTCGGCGACAACTTATCTTGACGTTGGAGCGAAGGATACCAAGGCGTTCCCTTCGCCCCTTCCACACATACTCGGCTGCTGACTCGCAGGTCGCGGGATCGAATCCCGGCTGCGGCGGCTGCATTTCTGATGGAGGCGGAAATGTTGTAGGCCAGTGTGCTCAGATTTGAGTGCACGTCAAAGAACCTCAGGTGGTCAAAATTTTCGGAGCCCTCCACTACGGCGTCTCTCATAATCATATGGTGGTTTTGGGACGTCAAACCCAACGAATTAATCAATCAAGGAACAACGGCAATGTTTATTTGAGAAACCACAAGGTTTAGTCTCTCCATGCGACAGTGTAACTGATAATGCGTTTCCGCGTGGTCACTTGATTTTCAGGATGCATGTGTCGTTACTTTACTAGGAGTTTTTGACTGCTACAGACCTCGCATAAGATCGGTCACGAGGGACAATTATGCTGGGGTGTGGTGCATTGAGATAAAGGTTCGATATATAAAACTGCACGCGGAACAACACACAGACTACCGGCTTATGCAGAGTCAAGTCATGCTACGCGAGTATTTCTAAGAGCACGCCTTCGCTTAGGTAAAACAAAAAAAAAGACAATGAAAAAGGATATTAGTTCAATACAGTTTGCAAAGAGGAAACCGGGTGGGGCTGTCGGCCGCAACTTTCGCAAGGCTAGATCTGCCGGCAACCTACAACGTCTCATTCCTAATCCTAATCCAAAAAGAGTTGCCTTTTGAATTGATACGCGTGATTTTAATTCTTGCAGATGTCCGGGAGCCGGCGATCCATTGTGCACGGCATCTTTTGTTGAAGACGCTCCATTCCCGCGGTGTTGCGGCGCCGTGATGTGTTCGCGAGGTGGTCGTTGAAGACCTTGAACCGTGAGCAGAGCTTGCGAGGAAGCAAGATTTCAGATAAAACCCGTAATCACGTGACACGTTACGTCACGCATCTCTTTATATAGCACTAACCCAACGGCAATAAAGTTGTTGTTCACCCGACTGACCGCGTCGCTACAGTTTTCATCCAAAAAGCGAATTATTCTCAACGGGTTCGTAGGGTCATAATATATCGTTCGGCTTCATTTGTACGCACAAAACTTGCCCGAGTCGTTTTTTTGTCCTTTTTTTACTTAATATCGAGACACGTTTCAGCAGACAGGTTTAGGTGTCATGGAAGGGCTACATTAACCACTTCTATGAAGGCCTCTGAGGGGCAGGCCTCTGGTCTGGCCGACCGCCCGACCTTGATGGCTGGATTGACGGAATATTACACCGCTCACGCTATAAACATCCTGCATAACTCAAATTCACACGCGTGTTTACGACGCCGCGCAGCTGCCTGAGGGCAGGTTTTCGAAATTACACGACAATAAGAAGTAATATTTGCTGATGGTGGAAAGACCTTGGAAGAATTAAGTTGAAAAAAAATGTAAATAAAAGAATGCCCCTAAAAGAACTGTTTACCGTCCTAATTGTCCTAATACACCAGTCATCTTCAATTACACCTTTCACACTATTTACCTGGTTCAAATAAGCGATAGAGTTTCAAAGTGAGAACAATAAATTGAAGTATTTTCCAAGAAATTTTTTCTAAAAAATATCACCAGCCAAGCTTTCCGCACAAATGGTTAACTAGGAGAAGCTGAAACATGTGGCCTCGGTGTTTAGAAGTGACTTCAACCCGACGTGGCCCTTGAGCCTTTCACAATTATTGGTTACATTTTCGTGCTTCTTAAACGTTTGACTTGTGTTTCCCACAGTGTTTATTTCACATGCCTTACGTTGTGCCTCGCAAGATCATGGTCATGGACTAGTGTAATCAGCAGTTAAATGCATTTCGCAATGCGTTAATCATGGTGGTTGTTCTCAAACAACATGCGGTGATGGACGTCGCCGCCGAAGCCAATGTGCCGCTGGAGATACCACCGCCGAAAGTGGGCGTTCGTTCGCCCCGGTCAACAGGCTTCTGCAACCATCACATTGACACAGCAACGCCACGTTGTTGCAAGCGTTCGACATCGCGAGCTAGTTCGGCAGCTTGATTTGCAGCATCCGCCCGTCACCGGCGCTTGCCTTCGCGTTCGTGATTTAGCGTGGCTTGGAAGGATGCCGTCATCGGTACGCAGTCGCTCCTGAACTTCGAGCTACCGGGCCTGTTTTTGCCCACGGACTGCTCCATCGTCCCGGCGAATATAAGTCATCTCACGTTTGCACTGTCGGCGCTCTTATGGCGTTCATATGGTGGTTTTGGGACGTTAAACCCCACATATCAATCATCATCGGTGCTCTTCTAGAGTTGTCCCTGGTATGCCCCTGTGAAAGCTTTCGGAAGAAACTCGCGCGCGCGCTCGGCGCCACGGCTGCGACAGGACGGACGACTTACGTCACTCACAACGCAGCCAATGACGCGCTTGCTTGGTACGACACTGGGAACGACGTAACTGATAATGTCAATGAAGAATAACCCCCGTATTCGCAAATGCTCCTACACTCAAGGGCTCTCCTCGACTTGAAAAAGTCGATAGGAGCGCCGCCTCTTGGCTGACCAAGTCTCTGCATATCGGCAATAATATGCAGTGATTCTTGAGAAGCGCAGCGTCGATTTCAGTCGAGCAGTGGCGCAGTGCTCTACTCAGTCAAGTGAAGGATGGAATTCGAGTCGAGGAGCATTTCTGAATACGGGGGTAAGACGACAGACTACAGACTCTTTTTCTGCCACCATGGCACAGAACACGCAAAGTACCAACTATGCGCCATGACGATGACGCTGTTGACGATGAAAATTAAGCGCGTTCCGGACCGCACGATGGATGAAAACGATCCGCGACGGGTGAAAACGAACGTGAAGCCTTTCTTGCCCTCTAAAGGCGAAACGGCAATGCTGACAACAAGCTGCTATGCAGGTTACCCTAAGTATGCTTTAATCTACGTTAACTTGTACAAAAGGGCCTCACTGGAACAACAGTTGACCACACATACTGGGTACAATCAACGATTACTTCAGCTATTAAGGCGAATGTCTGAGATGTCTCATCAAACGCGAAAATTTACTCTTGGTCTCCTGCGTCGGCGGCGTCAACCTGAGCAATGCAAGAAAATCATTATATGAAAATGTCAAAAGATGTCATCGTTGCCTTGAGAATTCGAAGGTGTCGGCAGTGGTCGTTTTCAGAATTCCTACACTGGAGCAAATTTTGAATGTCTCTGTCGACATCTGCTCAATGAACATAGCTACCCAGCTTATCTTTTCACTTCTACGGTTCCCACGCGTTCTGCCAACCTTCATTACATAAGCTATATAACACT